AAATACTTTCTAGGTTGTGTTTTCAATTTTATTTTTTTTTGTGATTGTTCATTGGAATGAAAAGAGTGTATATTTCAAAATTTGGATCAAACAAATGACCATAAGATGGTTTTTTAAGGTTGTTGCATCATATTACTATACAAACGTTGCATGAAATCATTGCCCTTTAATATTTAGAAAACGTGTATTTTCATTTTAAAAGCAGATAACATATTTATTTTTGCTATTGTTTATGTGTAATCTCTTATCCTTTAGCAGACTAAAATTGGTTTATCATTGATCCTTATTTTAAAACCAAACATGTTGGAATGATTATGTAACTGCCAAAGTGGTGCAATCACGAGAATTTGGATGGTATTAAAATATTTGATGATTTTTAATAATATTTTTTGTTTTTATTTATTTTGACTAAAAAATAAAAGTAAAATAAAATTGTGTGAATCATCAATGAGCCCACAAATTGGCGTTGAGCCGTTACAAATAAAAATCAAACCCAAAGGTAGTTTTTTATCTGTACAACTTAGCGAAATAGGATGGTTGGTGTGAGCACTATAGACTTAGACGACGTTAAACCCAAAGGAGTAAGTTCTTTGTTATCTATAATGTTTGTGATAACCCAGCCCTATAGTGGGTATAAGGATTGATTGTTCATTAACAAGAGACCATTAGCATGTCATAATCTTGGCCTAAAGGAGGGGTTGTGATGATGCATCAATTTACTAAAGGTACTTGATGTTAAAATAATGAATTATTAATTATGGGTAAATACAATTTTGTGAGCATAATTGTTTGAAAATCATGACAGCTCTAAATCCCTTTGCAGTTGCTGGATACTTAGCAGAGATTGAAACTCTAAATGGATCTAATTTCTATGATTGGAAGTAAAAAATTGAGATTACTCTAGGCATTTTGGATCTTGATTTAGCCTTGCGTGAAGATGAACCTCCCGAGCCCAACAACGAGAGCACTACTGAACAGAAAGCTAAATATGCGAAATGGGAAAGGTATAACAGGATGAGCCTCATGATTATAAAAAGGTCTATTGGTAAGACAATACAAGGTGCTATTCTTAATGAGGATAATACTTAGAGTTTCATGAGCAAGGTACATGAATAATTTGTAAGTCCCACTAAAGCCCCGGCGAACACCCTTATGATGAAGTTACTGACCATGAGGTATGATGGTCATAGCGCTATCAGGGACTATGTTATGCAACTAATTAATATTACAAATCAATTGAAGTCTATGGACATGAATATCTCAGAGGGTTTTCTGGGCAATTTATTCTCCACTCGTTACATACGCAGTATGATCAGTTCAAGCTTGCTTATAATACTCAGAAAAAAAAGTGGAATTTGAATGATATTCAAATTATGTGTGTTCAAGAAGAAGAAAGATTAAATCAAAATAAGCTAGAAGTTGCACATTTAACAGAGACTAGCTCAGGCAGAAAAGGAACATTTATATCATCAGAAAATAAAGGTTATGGGACACATGCAAATTATCAATCAAAAGGGACTACTTCACAGATTTAGAAACAAAATGACCGAAAGGTAAAAAAAAAATGCTTCTTTTGCAAAAACAATGGGCATTTGAAGAGAAATTGCTTCAAATATAAGAAGTTATTGGAAAATAAAGGTATCCAACAACAATCAGACACTATTTGATAGAGAATGAAGGCTTGTGATGGCAAATGGAGTTGAGGAATAAATGAAGGCGATATGAGTAGTTAGGTTAATTCTACATGGTAGTTTTGTAATAGACTTGAGAGATATTCTTAATGTGCCAACTATTGGGCAAGTAAGAAAATTAGATAGTTATAGTTTTAATTTAATTTTGGCAATAAAAATTACTTTTTATTTCATGGTAAGTGTATTGTGGGTTCCGAAAACTTATGTGATGGTCTCTATAAATTGAATTTGGATTTTATTTTTTGTTGAATCTCTTTTATCCCTTCAAATGTGTGTAATGAGAAACTTAAAAACTTGAATGAGAATATTTTATGTTGTGGCATAGAAAGCTGGGGACATCCCAAGAGAAAGGTGTAGGGATTAGTCTAATAAGGAGTATTGTTTGTAACTCAAATTTTCATGTTTCTCTGTTATTTATATAGTGAATCATGGTCTTAGTAAAAAACTATATTAAAGACCCTATTTGAAAATATGGATTGGTAGGAAGCGTAGTTTAAGACATTTGTATCTATGGAGATGCCCTGCAAAATGCCAGATTTTATCACCCTTTTGAAAATGAATTAGATTTAAGGTCTATAAGTTGTTACTTTTAAGTCTTCCAGATTTATGGAGAATCTTATGGACGAAGGGATTTACCTCAAGTTCAGTGGGAGCAAATTCACTATTTTGGTTCTATATGTCGATGACATTCTATTGCACAGTAATGACATTCATATGTTGCATGAAATAAATATTCTTTATTTAAGGTTTTCAATATGAAGGACTTGGGTGAAATTTCATGTGTGATTAGTAAAGAAATTCATTGACATAGATCTCAAGGTATTATGAGATTCTAACAAAAGGCATACATTGAGATGTTGCTCAAGAGGTATAATATGCAAAATTATTCTCCATGGTATAGCATCTATTATTAAGGGTGACAAGGTTAACAAATTACAATGCCACAAATATAATTTAGAAATAAGAATATAAAGAATATTCCTTATGCATTAGTTGTGTGAAGTTTAATGTATTCTCGACAGTGCACCTATCCAACTATAGCTTTTGTGGTCAGTATATTGGCTAGATATCATAGTAACCAACGGCTAGAATATTGGAAAGCGGCAAAGAAAATAATGGCGTATATGCAGGGAATAAAGAACATTATGCTCACATAAAGTAAATCTAATCATCTTGATGTGATTGGATATTTGGTTATAGATTTTGCTATCCCGATGATAAGAAGTCGACATCAGGTTATATTTTCATGATGGCTAGTGGAGCCATTCCATAGTAGATTCGTCGTTTACAGTAGCAAAATTAGTAGCTTACTATAAGGCTACCAAACAAGCTTTGTAGTTGCAGAAATTTATCTCGGGGCTTCGGGTTGTAGATTTTATTTCCAAGCCACCGAGATTTTTCTATGATGATTCTGCTGTAGTTTTCTTCTTTTAAAACAACAAGAGCTTGGACTTATCCCAACATATAGAAATTAAATATCTTGTTTTAAGGGAGAAGGTAAGGGTACTTGTAGTGTCCATTGAGCACATCAATACAAAACTGATGATCGTTGTTACCTTGACCATGGGTTTGAGTCCCAAATAGCTTGTAGAACATGTTGCTCATATGGATTTAACTAACATGTGGAATGCACTTGATCAGTGGGAGTTATATTGCTAGCATACAATATGTGATACTTATTCAATTTGATTTATACATATTGGATGCATCAAAGTTCCTGTTTTATATGTACACATAAAGATATCAGGATAAAAAGTTTTTTGGAACGTTTTTAGGTGGGATATGGATTTTAACATATCATAAAGTTTTTGTCCACCGTAAATGTTACATGTTGGAGACTATAGAGAGTGTTGGTACTAATCCTATAACCATGGAATGACAATGTGTCATTTATAGAATACAATTAGCCTTCATGATTTGGTATTAGTAGTTTCACTTGTCAAAGTCTTGATTTTAAGAGAATATTTTATATTTACTCAAATTGAGGATGTATTTTTAATTATAATTATTGTTAACCTAAGTGGGAGAATGTTAGAAAACATCCTCAATTTGTGGTATAACAATAATTATTTAAAGATAATATTATCCACAATTTAAGTAAATCGATTATCCAATATTAAGATAAAGATTCGTGATAATCATCTCCCCCACTCTCTCTTAAAGATAACCGCCTATGATGAGTTAAGATAAAGGAAACAAACATAATAAGGAAATGATATAAGGTGACGGTCCCAGCTCTTACTCATTCTCCATAAGAAAGTTTCCCATCAAGCTTGGAGGAGAAAAGAGGTGAAGGTTGTTCCACCCCTTCAGGGATTTGAACAACAAGCCGTTTTCTTTTATTGTTTGATCTTGGAAGGTATATTTATAGCTACTGTTTTGTTCTTATTTTTCGGTAATCATGAACAACGATCTAAAAAGATTTGCATGTTTTACAGGTTCTTAAATTTGTAGTTTATTTTTACAAAACTACCATCATCATCCGAGCTTTATCCTTATTACTTGGGATCGGCTATATGAATCTTGTTTCGCCATTCCACTCTATCAGGGGCCATAACTTCTGTTAGACCGTAAGCACCATATTTTGTAGTATGACTGAAGGTATAGCTCTTAGTAGTGTTGAATGGGGGAATATGATTCGTGCAGCCAACCCCAAAACTAACTTTAAAAAAAACTGCTTTTAAGATTTAGAATCATTTTTTTTTATTCTGCATTCATGATGTGGACAGTCAACTTTATCCATCTCTGAAAGTCTAAATCCACAACTTATCTTTAAAATGGATTATGGAAGGTAGACGCACTAGAATAAAGTGCTCCAACTAGAGCACCAAAACTCTATCCATAAATAAGCGTGTGAGAGGAGAAGAGTATAATACACTATCCAAAGGAAAATGTGCACATCTAGTGCATTGGGGCCTCATTTTATTGTAACAATCTTTCGTTCACTCCTATTACAAATTTGTCACTCTATGGTGTATCTTTTGAGAGCAGATTTACCTGTTACTCTCTTTTGGATGATCAGCTCTCTTCTGAATTGTGCCCATGTAAAAGGAAGGTATCTTTTAGGGTTTTTTCTTGATCAATAAGCTGTGAAGGGCTATCCACCACCATGTCACTCGCGGGGCTAAGGAAGTAGGCAATAGAGAAGCGTTGCTTCTCTTTGTTCACAACAGCTCTGTGAACCACACTCTTCAACCTTCCATTACTCCATGCCTAACGAAAAGCAAATTTGGGGTTAGTGTCTCTGCTTGGAGATAGGGGAAAAGACATGAAATGCAAAATCACAAAGCATAAATGGCATAGCATTAGGTTTCACTTTGAAATAAAAGGAAAATATATGAAATTTATAATTATTATACGAATGTTCATAGGAGGATCATAGTTACCAAGATCAGATGACCGCTTGGACTACCAACTAGTAGTACTCTGGTCGGTTTGGTCTAAAGAAAAAATCATATATGGTTGAAAACTTATCAAAGAATTAATGTTTGGCCGGTTTTAGCCATTTGGACTGGCTAGTTTTGACTGGTTCAAGCAATAACAATTTTATTTAATATATGTTATAATTTAAATTATTAATTAATTAATTATATATATATATATATATAATCTGGACCAACCATTTTGACCAGCAACCAGACCGGTTTTGATCAAACTAGACCATTCACCAATTCGGTGACCAGTCCGATCCTCATAACACTGAGGAGAATGGCAAGACAACTTAAAACAAGTTAACTCATTTTTCAAGAGTAAAGAGGGAAATCATGTATTAGAAAGTGGGCTTGCTGGTTCAAACTATAAACCTTAGGCAGGTGAGTAAGAGACCTTGTGTATGTAGGATTTTGAAAGATTTTAGATTTTCTGGGAAAATAAGAGAGAGCTTAAACATGTTAATGGATAATACAACCATAAATTGGCGAGGCAAAAAGGATTTAAGCGTATGTGCTGCGAGAGTAGGCCTGCCAGACCACCCAAGAACATGGTCTGCAACCAAAACACATCTATCATATTTGATACAGTACAGATCAACCTTGTGATTTTCTTTTTTAAAAAAAGGAAAAAGATTTTGAGCCCAGTAAACCTTAACGGAAGTCAAATTTTTTAGTTGGATTTGATCTGGAGCAGTTTTTTTAGCTCAAGATGCACTCTAAATACTTCAATTTGTATATGAATAAATGAATGTGCGCCTACATATATGTGCATGCATGTTCCACATGTAATTACAAGTGGCATAATGTTTTAAAAGTTGGACCCAGGCTCTGATTCATTACAATCGGAACCCAAGCCCCATACAGTTCGATTACGGCAAATAAAGGTTGGACCATGGGTTTTTTTTACTGGGGGATTTTATCAAAATATACCTACCTTGTCAAATACTAAAAGATTTATTGTGTATTTTCAACTATTCCAATTGATGATGATTATATGTACTCTGGTGGGCTTTTTGAAATTCAATAAGAAGAAATGAGTAAAAAGTTAGAAACTTTAATTGTTAGGTGTATTTTGAAATTTTCCCTTTTTAGTAACCAAAATTTTTAAAAATTATGAAAAACAGAGCTTCAGAGGATCCCATGGTTCTTAGGTTCAGATTCGCTTAGCTTCAGACCAACTCGGGCAGGTCCTAAATCGGCAATTTTTTCGAACATTGCTCGGTAGAAATAAATGTGTGTAATTGAATATGAAATGATGCTTCATTGCTATGACTTACTTCAAGTGTGTCACCAACATTGATGATAAATGAATTGGGGAGGGGTCTTATCCCAACCCACTCCTCATCCTTCTTTAGAACTTGGAGGCCCCCAACTTCATCTTGCAATAGAATTGTTAGGGTATGGGGGTCAGAGTGGCTCCCTAACCCTAGGCATTTGCTTGGTAGAGGGCAAGGAGGGTATCTGTTGATTCTGATCATGGTTGCCTCTTTCTCTTCAAAGTTCTTTGAGAAATAGTCATGGGGAAGGCCTAGTCCATGAGCCAGCATCTCAAATATGAGCATTCCCAATGCATCCATGGCATGCATGTAGTCAAGCATGGCATCACTGTGAAGGAATCCATTGCAAGGTGATGCACTTGTTAGTAAATATGATTTTTCAATTGCCATGTGGTCAAGCATGGTCTCTCTCTGTCTCTGTCTCTGTTTCTTGCAGTTGCCATGTAGTCAAGCATGGCAACTCTCTCCCCCCCAATTGCCATGTAGTCAACATGGCATCCATCTCTCTCTCTCAATTGCCATATAGTCAAGCAATTTATTACTTGGACCATCAGTTTTCAATGTTTTCAATCTGCTCCATCTACTGAAGCTTTAAATTTTATAACCAAAGATCAAATTAAATTTTCAGGCCATCATAACAATTTTTGTCATTGAAAAATCATCTCTTGATATTATTTAGAGGAACACCTTACTTTGCTTGTTTAGGGCTTTAACTTTATACAAACCACACCTTTTCATGGATCCTAAGTGCGATTTTAGTTTTGGAGACTGTTAGCATGCGGCCAGCCCGTATATTGTAGAAATGCGGGTTTGGCGATAAATTTATTTTTTAAGTATAATTTGATCCCAATTTTTAGAAAATCCATAATCTTTAACATGGAGATCATGAATATAAAAAATAAATAAAAACTAAAAATAATATTTATATTAAAAAAATATTTAAACCGTTAGTTACAATTGTTTTTAGATGGATTTCGGCTTTATACCTTTGAGCCGGTCCAGCCCCGCATGAAACAATTTTCCTTTAGTTTTTGCCGAAATGCAACCACCACGTCCTTGGGTTAAATAATAGAATAAATGGGGAAACTTGTTCATTTTAACGTATAAAAATTTAATGGAAAAACTCTCCCCCAAAAAGGAAAAAGATACGATGGTTCCATGGGAGCAAATTGTACATTTGGTTCCACTCTAAAATATTTTGTTTTGGGTTTTTCTTTGAACCCAAAACTCTCAAATCATATTAACTCATACCTTATATTTATCTAGAAAAGATTGACTTGAGCTCAAAATATGCTCCAAATCAATTCCTGCTTTGAGTTATATGAACAATCCATTTAGTGGACGAATCTCAATCTCCTTTTTTTTTCTTGGAAATTTATCAAAAGGTACGATATCAAGTATTTAATACTTTGCCCATAACTTTTTATTTAATTTTAAAAAAATCATTAAAATATACATGACCATAAGTTAGGGTAGATGAAAAATGATAAATCGTTAACTTGTTAAAAAGTTAGGTGTATTTTGATAAATTTTCATTTTTATTTCATTAAAAAGAATGTCACACCATAGTGTTACATGGTTACCTCAATTTCCATTTCCCTAGGTAGAAATGGATTTCAAGGGTTAGAATGGGATTTGGTTCCTCAATCCATCAAAAAAGTGGACTTCGTTGTGGTTTCATGGTATTTGCATGAGGCGCGGGCTCATGCCAACAGGCTCAACACTGCCCTTAATAAAAAATTTCTAGTCATATAAAAAATATCATAGATAATTGGCACAGTCCTAGTACAAGGATGGTTGTCTACCATTGGTAAGGGATACATGTATGCACTGCAGTGTTCAAAAAATTGAACCGGCCTTGGGAACCCAAAAATCGGCTCCCGGTTAAATTTTTTTTAAAATTATGAAAAGTATATTTAAAGTATTATTAAACAAAGTACATCCAAATTTAGTCGAAAATTAGTGAAAAAGTGGATTCTTTAAAATCAATTTGTGCTCAAAAGTATTTTTGAAATTATCTAAAAAAATAGGAAAAATATAAGAATAAGTATTCATGGCCAAAACACTTTACTATATTTACCAAAATGATAAAAACATTAAAAAAACTCATTACAAACAAATCTCTTATTTTTTGAGATTTTATGGTATTTCTTTTTAAAATACCAGACCAGACCCCCAAAATCGACAAAAACCAGATTAGCCAGTGCCGGGTTCCGGTTTGACCGGCCGGTTATGAGTTGGACCGATTGAGTTTACGAACACTGATACACGACTAATGGACCCAAGGCAGAGGCAGTCAAGATGGCAAATGCCACAACATAACATCTTGGATTTCATTCTTACCAAGTCCCAAAGTTAACAGAAAATAAAAAAGAGAAAAAAAAAAAAAGAAAAAGAAAAAAAGAAAAAAAAATAAGTAAAGAGGGAAAAAAAGTTAACAGAAAATAAAAAAGAGAAGAAGAAAAAATAAGTAAAGAGGGAAAAAAAGAAAGAAAGAAAGAAACACTACAGGCACATACCCAAAGAGGTTTCTCCAGCTTAGAAATTACCTAAAAGGACTGTGCTCATTGCCAAATACTTTCTTAGAGAAGGTGAGGACTTGTTGGGGAGATTGCAAAAGTTGGAGGCTCTCAGCCCATGGCAAATTGTGGCCATAATCAGTGTTTGTAGGAGAGTAACCCAATGGCAAGTTACTTGACCTTTCTCCCTTGAGTTTTTGCTCCATAGGAAGATCAAAAAGCCCTAAACATCTCTCCTTCATGCTCTCTATGACCACATTAGGTATTCCATGGTCCACAAGCTTGAAGAAACCCCAGCTCTCACATGCCATTACCATGTCCTTGCACAGGTTCTCATAGGCTTCACTCTCTCTCTTCCCATCTAAGATTTCCAAGAGACTGATCAAAGGCATGTTGTCCCCACTTTCATAATCATCATGCCTTATCTTGGGCCATTCATTCTCTGACCACATAAAGTCCTTCACGTATAAGCTTTTATGCATGGTGGAGAGAGAAGAAACCAGTTGCTTTTGGAGTTCTTCAACTTCCATTACTAGGTTGATGAATCTTTCACTCCACACAGAGAGAGACAGAGAGACAGAGAGAGAGAGAAAGAGAGAGTGTAGCTCCCCTTCCTATGCTAATGTTGGTTACTAAGATCCAATAAGATACCAAGGCTATTCTTGTTGATAGCAGTTGGATCTTAGTTAGTTTCTAATATATAGAGCTCAAGTCCAAAGCTTAGATCCTCGAATCCTTAACCATTTTGAATTATAAGAAGGCCGATCTCTCAAGTCTTGTGTTATTATAATTTTATAAATTATGGTAAGAACCTAGGTTTTGATGAAACAAGGGGGTTTCGTTGTCTCAAATGTGTAGGGGTGGCAATCAATCCAACTAGACTTGGGACCGATGGGTAGATCAGACCTCGGGTCTGAGTATGGGTCCAAATTTTTGGATATGAAAGGTTGGGTATGGGTCCAAAACCTGGACCCGAATGCTATTTGAGCCTTTAAAAATATAGGTATTCATAAATGTTATTTTTAGAAGTAAGCTTGCAAAAATAACGTTGTCTATTTTATTTTGGATGTAGATTCACACCATCTTAAAAGATATGCCACTTTTTTATATTATTTTAAAAGATGTGTCAAGTCTACATCATCCAACTAAAATGAATGGTATAAGATGTCACAATCTTACTTCTACAAGTATAGTTTGCCATCTTATACAAACTGCCACATTAGGGTTGAGAATGGGTTAGATCGGGTCTCGATCCATTGGATTCAGATTTGGATACGAAAAGTATACATGAGAGCTAGATCCGGATCTGGACCCAATTGGATCCAAAATATTTAGATCCAGATTCAAATCCAAAAAATATATATTGGATCTGGATACGGATCCAAACCCAGTCAGATCCAAAAATATTGTTTTAAAGATATCAAATAATATAT